TTGAATGGAAGTGATTGTAGAAAGCCTATTGGTCCATATTTCTTGATGCTTCTATATTGGAGCGGAGTCTTGAGGTGGGTAGAATATAGTTGTGCATTAATTGGCTGTTGATTGCTGGTGTTGACTTCTTGATGTGTAGTGCCTCGCAGATGTCAAGCAGCCTGCTATCGCTGTATCTATCGATGATTTCTGTGTTGTTTACTAGGATTTCCCTGGCGATGGTTCGGTTGTGGGAAGAGATTATATGTTCCTTAATGGAGCCCTGTTGCTTATGCATCGTTAAACGCCTAGAAAGAGATGTTGTTGTCTTGCCTGTATACTGGGTTTTTTGGAGCTTACAGTCCCCAAGAGGGCATTTGAAGGCATAGACGACGTTGGTCTCTTTTAGAGCGTTCTGTTTTGTGTCTGGAGAGTTTCTCATGAGTAGGCTGGTCGTTTTTCTGGTTTTATATTAAATCGTCAGTTGTATCCTCTGATTTTTGTCTGTATGGATAACGTTTCTATTAACAATATCTTTCAGGACCCTTTCCTCCGTTTTATGAGCTGTGGAAAAGAAGTTCCTGTAAAATAGTCTAATAAGGGGTATAGGTGTTGTGTTAGTTGTCTCTTCAGAGGTTGCATGGTGTTTCACTTTCCTTCTTATGATGTCTTCGACGAAACCATTGGAGAAGCCGTTGTTGACTAGGACCTGCCTTACCCTACAGAGTTCTTCGTCGACTTGCTTCCATTCTGAGCTGTGGCTGAGAGCACAGTCGACATAAGCGTTAACAACACTCCTCTTGTACCTGTCTGGGCAGTCGCTGTTGGCATTTAGGCACATTCCTATGTTCGTTTCCTTAGTGTAGACTGCAGTGTGGAAACCTCCGCTCTTTTCCATGACTGTCACATCTAGAAAGGGCAGCTTCCCATCCTTTTCCATCTCATAAGTGAAACGCAGCACGGAACTCTGCTCAAATGCCTCCTTCAGCTCCTGCAGATGTCTGACATCAGGTACCTGTGTAAAAATGTCGTCAACATACCTGCAGTATATGGCCGGTTTCAAGTTCATGTCGACTAAGACTTTTTGCTTGATGGTACCCATGTAGAAGTTTGCAAACAGGACACCTAGGGGAGAACCCGTGGCGACCCCATCTACTTGCTTATACATGTGCCCATCCGGGCTCAAGAAGGGTGCCTCTTTAGTACAAGCTTGGAGTAGTTTCCTTAGAATATTTTCTGGTATGTCAAGAGGAGTACAGGCCGGATCACGATACACTCTGTCGGCTATCATCTCGATTGTCTCGTCCACAGGTACGTTAGTAAACAGTGATTCTACGTCCAACGAGGCTCTTATCCCTTTGGCCCATGTGCCCCGCAGTAAGTCAACAAATTCCTTTGGAGACTTCAGGCTGAAGGCGCAAGGGACATAAGGAGTCAGCAGGCCGTTGAGTCGCTTCGCCAGTCTGTATGTGGGTGTGGGTATCTGGCTGATGATTGGCCGAAGTGGGTTTCCAGGCTTGTGTGTCTTGACATTTCCATACGCATATCCAGGTTTATATTCCCCAATAATCTTTGGCAGGTGGAGTCCGGATTTCTTGGCGTTCACAGTTTCGATCAGTTTGTTGACCTTTGCTTTCAATTCGGCTGTAGTGTCCTTCGTTACCCTTTGGAATTTAGTTTGGTCAGAGAGTATGAGGTTCATTTTCGCCAGATATTCGTCTTTTTTAAGAATGACGTATATTGGCGACTTGTCACCTCTCCTGACAACTATCTCCTTGTTCTCACGAAGGCTTTTAGCTGCCGCTTTGAGCTCGGGGGACAGTATGGTGCTTCTGTAGTTGCCTCGATTCTTTCCTCCTTCCGCAATAAGTTCTGCTTGTAAGGTATCTTTGGTAGTGACCTTCTTTTGTGTCTCGAGGTCGAATATGTCGTCCAACAGAATTTCCAACTCCACTTTCCGGGCCATCTCACTCGGTCTGGACATAACGTGACAGTTTATACCCAGATTTAGGAGAGTGACTTGGTCCTCAGTGAGGTTAATTCCTGCAAGGTTCAGGAAGCCATCTCTTGGTCGTGGAATTGCCATAGGTCCTCCGTATAACGTTGTTAGTTTCTTGATAATCCTTGTTTCAGTGCTGAGGTGATGTCGGTCTGTGAGGATGTCGAGGTGTTGTTCAATGCGGGTACGGAGACTTTCGTCGATGTTGCTATTTCTCCATTCGTTTGTAGCATGAAGTAGTTGCGTTTTGTTGTCTTTGATTTCATTTTCTGCCTTGTATAAATGAATGGTATCCACTTCATTTTTGGGGGCACACGTGAGGAACACAAATACGAACAACCCTGAATGGTCCCTAGGCTTATATGCAACTGAAAACTCGCACCCCAGACAACACAGCTCAATTTCCACGTAATGTCACACAAAATAATTGTATCAAAATAAAAATAAATCAAAATCTATGAAAATTTAATTTGTTAATGTAATCGGAAACATTGAAATGGAATCATAACATATATAGTATACCATGTGCTGCTCTTACATGCAACAAATGGCGCTGTTTCTTAAAAAAAAGTTTTTACCTGTCACAGGTGTGGCATTTATACTTATACTTACAAAATGAATGGTATAGTAAACAACACAACTCAATTCCAATGCAATGTCACACAAAATAATTAAATCAAAATGAAAATATATCTAAATCTATGAAAATTCAGTTTATCAATGCAGTTGGGAACATTGAAATGGAAACTTAGCATATTTAGTATAGTGTGTGTTGCTATTACGTTGAACAGATACCATTGTAAAAAAAAAAATATGTTTTTTTTTCGTATCATAAGGGAGGCATGTATATAGTAGGTATATAAAAACACGCACCTATTCGAATGCAACGTTGTGTCAAAATTTCAAAGCAATTGGTAAATAGGTTTCAGAGATTTCCCTCACATGAAAAGCACAGTTTAAAAAAAAAAAAAAAACTTGTTTTTCCTGTCACAGACGTGACATCTATATAGTATGTATATAAAAACCCGCTCAGATGTGAATGGAACGTTGTGTGAAAATTTCAAAGCAAACACTGATGAACTTTCGGAGATTAGCGATTTTGAACAAACTAACATTTACATTTATATTTATATGATAATAAATACCATGTAACTAGTTTCACTCATATTTTCCATTGTAATAAGGTATTTTGTGTTACTCTTATCTTATATTTGTTTTTACTGAGTATTTTGGACTTTTTGCATTTATTGTCATCTAATTTCTTGCATTTCTTTTGTTAAAATGTTTATTCATATCCTTTATGGTCCTGGTTAGTTTTTAGTGTTGGCCACATTGACCTTAATTATTATATTACTCTATGTTCTGTTATGTTCCAAACAAAATGTTATGAGAAAAAGTCTCTTGGCTTTTCTAAACTACACCTTGTTATTCCATTCTCTTATTAATGAAAATAAATTACTGCACTATTGCTACAATTACTGACTCCATATTGTATTAGTTTGTGACTCATCATTAAGTGTCACCTTTCTTGCTTTCTTTTGCTATTTCCTTCATCAATTTTGTTAGTTTACTTCTCATTTAGTCTTTGGTGTTTTACCCCCAGTCACACATTTGGTTAAATTTTGTCTATTTTATGTTTTTGTACAAAACCCTTTGAGTAATAATGGCTTCATATTTTGTATAACTTCTATCCCTACAATTGTACATTACTCTTATGTTCTTTGTACACAAATTCTTTGGAATACATTGAATTGAATTGAATTCAAAGTTGTTCTTGCATAAGCATGTACAAGTGGACTAACAAGTTTACACATATAAATAAACCAGCTCGCTGGCCACAAGCAAATTATTGAATGCTCCTGGAACAGGGCATTTTAACATCCTGTCACAAAGGAAATAGGGAGGAAAATTAATGTACCTTTATAATCCGTAGACTGGCTGCTTCTGTCTCAGCAGCTTGTAGAGGTTGGTGGAGGAGTCATGAGGTGTTTTTTTTATATTCCTGTATACTTCCTTCTTCCTTTTTCCTTCGACGCCACAACAGCTGGTCTCTCCCATCATCTGTGCTAGGAAACAGCTGACGGCTGACCTCCCGTGACAGTCACTACCGGTACTAATCTGCTTGTCGAGTACACTGGGATTTGACGTGAGTTCCTCTGACTTACCGACCTCCCACGCTGACTCACTGGTCTCTGCCTCCTCCCATGTACAAGTGTCGTGTCCCGGTAGTTTCTCCCACTAGGGTCGCACCACTGCTGAGCACACGTTGATTAAGACTGCCCCCAATAGTTCAAACTCAGGAATGGCCCTCAGGTCCACTCTCGACCCCTAGTACCGCCTCTTGAAACACGAAGAGTACGCCTCTAACAGTTTGGAAAATCCTACAGAAGTTGCTCATTGACTCATCTACTGTATTTATTGAGTACTAGCAGTCAAGACGTTCCTACTTTCCGATCAAACTTCACCTTGTGGGTCCGACGAGTAACGCAACCTGTTCCCTTGACGTCCAGGGACGCAATGACGGAATCTCGCTTCCCGCATTGCCACTTAGCTGACGTCACGCCACATCACGTCAGGGTACTCTCTGATCCGTCACGTCCCCAACGTTCAGCCAGTCGCAGTTTCTAAGACCCAGGAGACTCAGTGCCCTTTCAAGCAAATTTTGCAGAATTTTGCCGCCTCTCAGCAGAGTCTATCCGGCATATTTGTTGCGGAAGTTCACACTTTGCCTCCTCCACCACCGAACTTAGAACTAAAATAATTAAAATTTTTATCTCACTTCTCACTGAGAATAATCAAACAGAAGAAGGTGCCTTTAGTACTATGTACAAGGGAGAATATGACTCTTACCAGGTGGGAGACGAGTGTATCGTGCCGGTACATGTAACAGTAGTGAGTAATGTGCAGCTTTCAGAAAGGTCTTTTAAAGTGTTGTTGAGCATGTAAGAGGAGACTGAGCATGTGTGCATTGAGTGTTGTGTGGCCCTTAAGGAAGATCTCACCAGTACTGGTGGTTCCCCAGGAGCGTGTACTCTGCTGCGCTGCGCGACGCGTCGTCTGCGAATGCAGCAGCCGCCATGTGCCATCTGATGACGTCTGCGGCTGCTGTGTTTACCCCAAGCTGGACGGCGTCTCTCGCTAATGTTCAACATCCTACATCAGAGGCTCTTCATACGTGCGCGGTGAGTTCGTGTATTTTTTGGTGGTGTATTCATATGTATTTTCTTATCTATTCATACAAATGAGTACACGGGTGTTGTGTTACCCGGTGATCTCTTCCACAAGTCAACAAATCTGTTACAACCCAGTATTAACCCATGTCTTTCAAAAAAGCCAAAATCTACACCTATCACATTTTTTATCCATTGTCACATGTTCTATTCTGTGTTAATACATAACATCTTATTATTAATCCCTTATTATATTACCCTTTCATCCACTTGTACTCTTCAATCATGTCACTCCAAACTCTTCGCTTTTTCTCAACCCGTCCTCGACTCAAGTCCATTACATTCAGCGGTCAACCCCACAGACGCATTCATAAATTTTAACATGCTGTTCATTCAAAACGGGAATTTTCGCAAGTATAAATTAATATTATAATATATTAGCATATTGTGCATATATAGTCATAGGTTAGGTTAGGTTAGGTGTTTAGGTTCTGTTGGCGATTACTTGTATTTATAGTACGTGGGTGAAGCATTTATAGCGTTGTGGTTCGAACAAAATTCGTCAGTGAAGCACTTGTTCCGGATATGTTCGAACGTCAGCAGTTGTGAGTCGTGTGTAAACCGCTTTTCATTCATAAACAGGGGGTTTGGCGGGTGCATGGAATCACTTTTGGATCTTTGTTTGGAGGACGGGCTGCTTTTTCTAGAGAATGTAGAATTAAGCTTTTTGAATCTCTCTTCTTATAGAAGGCTTCAAATTCCCGAGATGAACTTTATACATCTTCGGTGAACGTGTGAAAGTAGCTCTATTCATTCCATAGTATGGGGATCACGACTGAACTGCATAACATAAATGGGGCCAGATAAGAGCAAGATTCATCTGAAAATAACAATAATTGTTTTATTGCTAATACTTCTATAAATATATCCGAGAATCCTACGTGCTTTATTCCGAAAATTTAGAGGCCAAAACTGATTACCTGCAGCAGCCAAACTCCCTGTTTGTGAAAGGAACAACCTGTCCTCGGCTCACAACTGATGGCGTTCGAACACTTCCGGAACAAGTGCTTCACTGACGAATTTTGTTCGAACCACAATGCTATAAATGTTTCACCATGTACTACAAATACAAATAATCGCCAACAGAACCTAAACACCTTCTCTAACCTAACCTATGCCTATATATGCACAATATGCTAATATATTATAATGCTAATTTAGATTTGATAAAATTTCCGTTTGGAATGAACATCATGTAGCAATTTATGAATGCATCTGTGGGGTAGATCGCTGGATGGAATGGACATGAGTCGAAGACGGGTTGCCCAAGACGCAGTCATAAATTTAAATATGCTGCTTATTCAAAACAGGAATTTTCTCAAGTATAAATGAATATTATAATATATTAGCATGTTGTGCATATATAGGCATAGGTTGGGTTAGGTGTTTAGGTTATGTTGGCGATTATTTGTATTTGTAGTACGTGCGTGAAGCATTTACAGCGTTGTGGTTCAAACAAAATTCTCAGTGAAGCACTTGTTTCAGAAGTCTTCGAACGTTAACAGTTGTGAGTCAGCCCGTCCTCCAAACAAAGATCCAAAAGTGATTCCATGCACCCGCCAAACCCCCTGTTTATGAATGAAAAGCGGTTTACACACGACTCACAACTGCTGACGTTCGAACATATCCGGAACACGTGCTTCACTGACGAATTTTGTTCGATTCACAACGCTATAAATGCTTCACCCACGTAGTACAAATACAAATAATCGCCAACAGAACCTAAACACCTAACCTAACCTATCCTATGCCTATATATACACAATATGTTAATATATTATAATATTAATTTATACTTGCGAAAATTCCCGTTTTGAATGAACAGCATGTTAAAATTTATGAATGCGTCTGTGGGGTTGACCGCTGAATGTAATGGACTTGAGTCGAGGACGGGTTGCGTGTGTATACCGTTTTTCATTCATAAACAGGGGGTTTGGGGGTGGATGGAATCACTTTTGGGTCTTTATTTGGAGGACGAGCTGGAACGGAAAATTGTTTACACACGACTTACAGCTGATGACGTTCGAACATTTCTCGAACAGTGCTTTGATGGCGACATTCGTTTGAATCCCAACTCTGTAAACGCTTCGTCTAGCTACTACAAATACAAAAAATTACCAAGCGATTCTGAACTCCTAACCTAACTATAGTTTGTTTACTTTTCTGAAGTCTACACATAACTTCTCATGCCCATTCGTTTTGCGCACTACTACGAGTAAACTATGAAGCCTGTCCTAATAAACAAAAGTCGATAGTGATTCCAAGCACCCACCAAACTCTCTGTTCATGAATGCAAAACGGTTAACACAGCAACCTGTCCTTAGATAACAACCCATCCTCACACTTCCTCGCTTAACGCCGCGGCTGTTCACCCCAGATGCATTCATCATTTTTACTGTGTATTAAAAATTGGTTTGTTTTCATATATAAATTACTATTCTTTTACATAAAAATTCTGTGTATAGTTAAGCGTAGGTTAGGTTAGGTGTTTAGGTTCTGTTCGCGATTATTTCTATTTGAAGTAAGTTGGTGAAACAGCTATAGCAACCCGTTCTCGACTCAATTCCATTATATCCAGCGGTCGACCTCACAGACGCATTCATCAATTTTTACGTGTTGTTCATTCAAAACTGAAGTTTTCTCAAATATAAATTAATAGTATAATATATTAACATATTGTACATATATAGGCATAGGTTAGGTTAGGTGTTTAGGCTCTGTTGCGATTATTTGTATTTGTAGTACGTGGGTGAAGCATTTACCGCGTTGTGGTTCGAACACCAGTCGTCAGTGAAGCACTTGTTCTGGTAGTGTTCGAACGTCAACAGTTGTGAGTCGTAACACACATACTACTCACACACCTGCTACTCACACACATACTACTCACACACATGCTACTCACACACCTGCTACTCACACACATACTACTCACACACCTGCTACTCACACACCTGCTACTCACACACATACTACTCAAACACTTGCTACTCACACACACACCTGCTACTCACACACACACCTGCTACTCACACACCTGTTACTCACACACATACTACTCACATACCTGCTACTCACACACATGCTACTCACACACATACTACTCACACACCTGCTGCTCACACACATGCTACTCACACACCTGCTACTCACACACCTGCTACTCACACACTATTCACACATTTGCTACTCACACACCTGCTACTTACGCACTTGCTACTCACACACCTGCTACTTACGCACTTGCTACTCACACACATGCTACTCACACACACATGCTACTCACACACCTGCTACTCACACACTTGCTACTCAAACACTTGCTACTCACACACTATCTACTCACACACCTGCTACTCACACACCTGCTACTCACACACCTGCTACTCACACACACATGCTACTCACACACCTGCTACTCACACACCTGCTACTCACACACCTACTACTCACACACTTGCTACTCACACACCTGCTACTCACACACATACTACTCACACACCTGCTACTCACACACTTGCTACTCACACACCTGCTACTCACACACCTGCTACTCACACACCTGCTACTCACCTGCTATTCACACACATACTACTCACACACTTGCTACTCACACACCTGCTACTCACACACATACTACTCACACGCCTGCTTCTCACACACCTGCTATTCACACACATACTACTCACACACCTGCTACTCACACACCTGCTACTCACCTGCTATTCACACACACATACTACTCACACACCTGCTACTCACACACCTGCTATTCACACACATACTACTCACACACCTGCTACTCACACACCTGCTACTTACACACCTGCTACTCACACACCTGCTATACACACACATACTACTCACACACTTGCTACTCTCACACATACTACTCACACACTTGCTACTCACACACATACTACTCACACACTACTCACACACCTGCTACTCACACATCTACTACTCACACAGTTGCTACTCACACATCTGCTACTTACACACTTGCTACCCACACACATGCTATTCACACACTTGCTGCTCACACAGATGCTACTCACACACTTGCTACTCACACACCTGCTATTCACACACTTGCTACTCACACACCTGCTACTAACACACCTGCTACTAACACACCTGCTACTCACACACCTGCTACTCACACACCTGCTACTCACACACCTGCTGCTCACTCACCTGCTACTCACACACCTGCTACTCACACAACACACCTGCTACTCACACACCTGCTACTCACACACCTGCTACTCACACACCTGCTACTCACACACCTGCTGCTCACTCACCTGCTACTCACACACCTGCTACTCACACAACACACCTGCTACTCACACACCTGCTACTCACACACCTGCTACTCACACACCTGCTACTCACACACCTGCTGCTCACTCACCTGCTACTCACACACCTGCTACTCACACAACACACCTGCTACTCACACACCTGCTACTCACACACCTGCTACTGGGCACACCATGACGTTCCCTCCTCCCCTCTGGCGCAGGATTCAACAATATTACCTCGCCCAGGTAAATAAAGTGTTAAACATAATTCCACAACTCTTTATGAACTTCTTCAGTTATTCCTTCATATTATAAAATCATATTTTGTAATACCAACAGTTTAATTTATAAAAAATATCATGAAAAAGTTAATTATAAAGATATCCACCTGAAGAATATCAGAGATTTGCTGTTAAAAAATCCTAATATATATATGGGTGTGAGATCAGAGGGTCATACACCCTTCAGTTGAGGGTGTATGACCAGAGAATACCCTTAGTTGAGTGTATGAGACCAGAGAATAGTTGAGTGTGAGAGACCAGAGAATACTTTTATTGAGTGTATGAGACCAGAGAATACTTTTATTGAGTGTGAGAGACCAGAGAATACTTTTATTGAGTGTGAGAGACCAGAGAATACTTTTATTGAGTGTGAGAGACCAGAGAATACTTTTAGCGAACCTCGACTGACAAATGTTATCATGCACATCTTAGTGTATCAATATTTACAGGATCTACTGGACGGTGATCACTGGGAATCATCTGTGTTGGGTGTGACGGCCATGGCGGGTAATGGGGCGAGGACGGCCTCTCAGGGCAGGATAGGCCTCCACTGTAGTCCTCGTGACTCCCGCTGTATTGAAGGTACGGTAGACTAAGTTACCGTCTGAGGGCAAGACAGACCTCCATTTTTGTCCCCATGTCTCTAGACCTATTGAATATACAGCTTCCTAAACAGGAGTCTGAGATGTTGCAGGGTAGACCAGTCTTGTTTTTTTTCTGGAAAACAATTAATAAATATTAATATACTAGCTGTACCCGGCCACGCGTTGCTGTGACTGCGTTGCTCAGCCACAGCAACCTTCCCTTGTCTCCCATTTCTGCCCACTATTCCCCCCTCATGTGTCCCCTCGTCTTCCCAACCATTCCTCACTTCCCCGTCCCCTCGTCCTCCCAATCATTCCCCACTCCACCGTCCCCTCGTCCTTCCTACCTTTCCCCACTAACCCCGTCCCCTCGTCCTCATCATCCACCACTCCCCTGTCCCCCTCGTCCTACCCACAATCCTCCACTCCCGTCCTTTCGTCCTCCCCACCATTCCCTACTCCCTCATCTAATGATTTTCCCAATGATTTTATGTTCCCATCAGAAAATTGGGAACATCAAATGATCTGATATTCCCATCTTTGAAATATAAGAAAAACAGTTAAAAAAAACGAAATAAAAATAATGAAAAAACTAAAAAATAAACTATACACACGAAATGAACGGTATGGTGAACAACACCACTCAATTCGAATGCAATGTCATACAAAATAATTCAATCAAAATGAAAATCAATCGAAATCTATGAAAATTCAATATATCAATGAAATCAGAAACATTGAAATGGAATCGTAGCATATTAAGTATAGCGTGTACTGGTCTTACACGCAACAGATGGCGCTGTTTTTTTTATAAAAAGCGTGTGTTTACCTGTCACAGGTGTGGCATCTATACGTATACTCACGAAATGAACGGTATTGTAAACAACACAGCTCAATTCCAACGCAATTTCACACAAATAATTAAATCAAAATAAAAATAAATCGAAATATATGAAAATTCAATTTATCAATGCAATCAGAAACATAGAAATGGAATCATAACTTATTTAGAATAGCATGTGTTGGTATTACGTGCAACAGATGGCGCTGTTTCTAAAAAAAAAAAATGTTTTTACCTGTCAAAGATGTGGCATCTATATAGTAGGTTTATAAAAACACGCACATATTCGAATGGAACGTTGTTTCAAACTTTCAAAGCAATCGGTGAAGAACTTTCGGAGATTACAGCAGCTTTACAGCTGCTGTAATCTATCTGTAGATTAGCTACATTAGCTACATTACAGCTGCTGCTGTAATGTAATGCTGATAGATTACAGCATTACAGCTGTATCTATCGATATATATATATATATATATATATATATATATATATATATATATATATATATATATATATATATATATATATATATATATATATATATATATATATATATATATATATATATATATATATATATATATATATATATATATATATATAGATATATATAGATATATATAGATATATATATATATCGCTGTATCTATCGATAGATACAGCGATAGCAGGCGGCTTGACATTTGCGAGGCATTACACATCAAGAAGTCAACACCAGCAATCAACAGCCAATTAATGAACAACTATATTCTACCCACCTCAAGACTCCGCTCCAATATAGAAGCATCAAGAAATATGGACCAATAGGCTTTCTACAATCACTTCTATTCAATACCCATTGTTTCGTGTTCTGTCTTGTGTTGATGAAATTAATACCTTATTAAATACCACCTCACCCCATCCACCTCACTCAAATGTAGATATAAACAAAATCGGAGATGTTCTATTCTATTCAGTAAGTTCTATTCAGTTGTGCATATGTTAACTAAAGTCTTTGAAAATGTAATAAGTTTTACGAAACGCGCTCAAGTGTCGCGTCAGACTAGAAATAAAAATGAATTTTGGAGAATTGATTTTTGAATTACCTCCAACAGTGAAAAGAAATGTACGAAAGATTGAGAAAATTCGTGTTAGAATTATTAATCTTACTTTTTCGGTCATATTTAATAATATATGTCTACAGGAAAGACTGCTACCAAAATATACTAATATATAGGGAGGGGAGTAATAATATATAATAATATATATATGACAATGTCAGACCACGGAGGAAAAATGAAACAGGAAATTTCCTTAAGTACTTTCGTATATTAAATACATCTTCAGAAGGTCCAAAATATATATATATATATATATATATATATATATATATATATATATATATATATATATATATATATATATATATATATATATATATATATATATATATATATATATATATATATATATATATATATATATATATATATATATATATATATATATATATATATATATATATATAATAATAATAAATTTATAATTGGTGAGCGAGAACGGCAAAGGCATTCCAATTAACATGTGAGGGAAGGAATTATATATATATATATATATATATGTCGTACCTAGTAGCCAGAACTCTCTTCTCAGCCTACTATTCAAGGCCCGATTTGCCTAATAAGCCAAGTTTTCCTGAATTAATATATTTACTATAGTTTTTTTCTTATGAAATGATAAAGCAACCCTTTTCTCTATGTATGAGGTCAATTTTTTTTTATTGGAGTTAAAATTAACGTAGATATCTGACCGAACCTAACCAACCCTACCTAACCTAACCTAACCTATATTTATAGGTAAGGTTAGGTTAGGTAGCCAAAAAAAGCTAGGTTAGGTTAGGTTAGGTAGGTTAGGTAGACGAAAAAACATTAATTCATGAAAACTTGGCTTATTAGGCAAATCGGGCCTTGAATAGTAGGCTGAGAAGTGTGTTCTGGCTATTAGGTACGACATATATATATATATATATATATATATATATATATATATATATATATATATATATATATATATATATATATATATATATATATATATATATATCGTACCTAGTAGCCAGAACGCACTTCTCAGCCAACTATGCAAGGCCCGATTTGCCTAATAAGCCAAATTTTCCTGAATTAATATATTTTCTCTAATTTTTTTCTTATGAAATGATAAAGCTACCCATTTCATTATGTATGAGGTCAATTTTTTTTTATTGGAGTTAAAATTAACGCAGATATATGACCGAACTTAACCAACCCTACCTAACCTAACCTAACCTATCTTTATAGGTTAGGTTCGGTTAGGTAGCCAAAAAAGGTAGGTTAGGTTAGGTTAGGTAGGTTAGGTAGTCGAAAAAACATTAATTCATGAAAAATGGGCTTATTAAGCAAATCTGGCCTTGCATAGTAGGCTGAGAAGTGCGTTCTGGCTACTAGGTACGATATATATATATATATATATATATATATATATATATATATATATATATATATATATATATATATATATATATATATATATATATATATATATATATATGTCTCATTGAATATGACTGCATATTCTGTATTTACCTAAATGACTGAGTTAATTAAGATGTATTTTAGAAATACTGTAGTATTATAATATTACATAAATAATTCATAATACAAAGAGCATAAGTTAGGGGGATACATTAATAATTAGTGTAGAGACGTTTAATGACGTCCCAGCTGGCGAGACTAGGTAGCTGTTGCTATGGGGAGATTATATCTGAACACTATAGATGATTTATTATATGTTTGAATTTTGGATACTTTCCGCAGGACTCACCTATGTTCAGACGAGGTCATATTCTCACATCAATTCATGGAAGAGTTTGTACATTTGTTATAAGTTATATAGTTATACCTTCTAATGGTTAGCCTTCATGTAGACTAAGGGTGTCAACATACATGTAGAGGATCAGATGCTATTGTTGAGTAGTGGATTTTGGTTAATTAACAGAGGTGACCATTTACTGTGTATGGGTAAACAAAGGTGAATTGTGCACTATTTACAGAATAACAGAAGCATACATTGTGCTTTGTATAAGTTAACAGATGAACAGTGTAATGTTTACTGTACACTCCTTGTGATTAGGAAATTGCTAAGGCAGTCTGTCTGAACGACAGGAGAACCTCCTTTTCTCTGCAAAGTCTGACAGTGAAGTCGAAAGGCAAGATGTCTCAATCCCATATCAAGAAGCACTAAGCCAGAAGGGATTTTTTTTTTAGTTTTGATTGCCAAAGGGGTTGGAGAGGCTGGGGGACGAAGAGGGATGAAGAATTGTGAAACTCTGGAAAAACGATCAGGATGAGTAAGAATAGGATGAAAAGTTTAGTGGCCTGTCTACTGTGGATTGTGAGTTGTGGTGGTTTTGTGTTGTCGGTTGTGAGTGTCTGTTTTTGGGCGGTGGAAGGGTGCACGATCCTTAGGCGGCTTGGAGGTGAGCTGCATGGTCTAAATTCCCACTTCTAGTTGTGTGGTATTCTTGCCGCTTTTTCATGTCAAGCTCTTCCATTCATGCCAGGCGTGGAGGTGTGCCTTCTTCTTGTCTCTGGGGGTGAAGTCGTCAGGGTTGTGGCGTCCGAGGTCAATATGTGGTTTTATACTGGAGCAATGGAGCAATCGCAGTGTTCGTGATGTTTGGTTTTTGTCATAGATTGGGGCTCTTTCGTTTTGGAATTGGGTTGCCAGTGTCTGGACTGACTTTGGGAGGACAGTTCGTTGTGGTGGGAGGCTCGTGTTGTTCTTGTAGCCGGTGCAGTTGGTGAGGCTTGGGCGGGGGTGTTCTGTGCTCGTGTCCTGTTGTGTTGTCCTGCACGGTGGTTCGTTGGCTAGTTGTTCAGGCGTTGGTGTTAAAGGATGGGCGGTGTTGCTGTGAGCGGGGCACTGTTGTGAGATCAGTTGCTGGACTAGCTGTAGGAACGGTGAGTTGTTCTGGCACAGCAGGAGTGGTGGCTGGGGTTGGCACCAAGGTTGTTGGGGTCGGTGTTGCAAGATCGAGCCCTGGTTCAGTTTCCACCACAGGATCAAGTAAATGTTCGGTGCATTCTTGCGGGAGCGGCAGTACTGCTATCGTTGGTTGTCCGTTTTCTGTGAGTAGCCTGTTGATGATTTGGACATACAGGCTGATGTCATTGCTTGCCATTTTGTCGGCGAGGTGGAGGAGGACAAGTATGAAAGTATTGTTGGTGGAGGCTACTGACCGGTTTGGTGCTGTTGAGTGATGACATTCACCGAGTTGTGCTTGCGGGGGTTGAGCTCTGCTCTTTCGGCCCACCTCTCAACTGTTAATCAATCAACAGTTACTAATTACTATTTTTTAATTTTTATGTTTTTATTTTTTCCACACAAACACACACCCAGGAAGCAGCCCGTAACAGCTGTCTAACTCCCAGGTACCTATTTACTGCTAGGTAACAGGGGCATCAGGGTGAAAGAAACTCTACCTATTTTGTTTCTCCCATCACCGGAAATTGAACCCGGACCCTGGAATTATGAGTAGAGCGCTGTCCACTCGGCTATCAGACCCCTGCCTGATAGATGGATATGCGGGACCGGATGGGTGTGTTGTCAGGCGCGCCACCAGGCAGAGTAGGGAAGTCTGCTGTTTGCATGTTGGGTGAAGTGGCCAGGTGAGCTGAGGTGGAGGCTGGACTTGCTTCTGTCATTTTTTTTTAATTTGCATGGATTGAGATTTCACCGGTTGGCTTCCAGAGGGTACGGACGTGCCCACATATTGGTCCTCAGTTGACGAGCAAAGTGTGGAGTCGGTTGTTATTGTTGTTAATTTAGGGGCGACGACGATCGTGGGATCGGATGCGCCCCAGCGTACCCGTTAAGGGTGAATCGCGAAACCAGGAAAGGTGAAACGCCAAGCCAAAACGCGAAACGAGTGACGCCAATCACTAGAAACTAATATGCTATACGGCAAATAAACGCACAGACGGGCAGATGATTAGGGAGTCCCAGGAGTCCTGCAGGGTGACAAGCACCAGCCCTGCCCCACACAGAGAACACCAGGTAGAAAACCAAAACTCGGCCCCAACTAAAACGCAAAAAGCCATCCAGTGTCCTCCGGCAGAGCAGAAGCCGGCCGCCCACTACAGCTGAGGGCACACCAGGAGCCCACCAAGATCCACCAATCCCCGGCACTTCTCGGCCAAGCCGGCCCCCGAACACCGTCACCCCGCCGGGAGAACCAGCCAGAACACGCCAAAAAAAGAAAATCTGTCAACAATCCCGTGACTCAAGGCGATATGTGTGCCAGGCGTCGTACAATCGGACCATTGAAGAGGGATGCCAAACGGTAGTAGCAAAGCCAAAACGCGAAAACAGGACGTGACCCCGCGGCTCCCAGGCGGAGGAGGTATCGAGACGTAAGCTCAGCATCAAGGTTGAACCAGGACTCAGAGTCGGTGGTTGAGTGACTGGCCTGCGCCCCTTGTGGTACCCTGCTGGTGCAGGATACAGGTTCGCCACGATTGGGGTCGTCATTGCCTCCCCTTAAGCAGACTAATTCGACTGGACTAGAGTTTTCTACACCGGTGGACCATACGGCGGTTGGTGTTGTGCTCGTGGCGGTGCTCAGTGTCCAGTTGGCTCATTTGGTCGGCGTTTAGCTCGTTCAAGACCGCCATGTGGTGGTCAAATTTCTACGGCTAGCTGTGTCCCAGGAGTTCCTCTACCAGTGTGAGGGATGTTTTTTCCCTATGCCTGATGGTGTAGGCACCGTCCGAGTGGTGAACTTGAGTGTGACATTGACGTACGTGGAGCCTTATTCAAAGTGACGAATAGAATATTGACCAGGATGTTTGGCCAGTTTGGGAAAGTGCTAAGTGTACGGTGGTTCAAAGTCTCTGCTGGTGGGTTGCAGTTTTTGCCAGCAGGGGGTGTGGGTGTCTCTACCCTCCCTGCTGTCCCTGACTGGTGTTGACGTGGCGCTTTTGCGATGAGCGGCCATCTTCCCGCTGTCGAGAGAGTAAACTCTGTGGGGTTGGAGTTTACCTGCCGTGCAGGGTATCCTCTCGTTGAGCAGGTCATGTGTGACGTGCTACATGTCCCGGTCGAGGAGGTCTACGGGGTTGAGCTGGTGACTGCTCGCCGGGTGATCATCAAGTTTGTGGGTGAGGAGGCGTACCGTGGATTTCTCCGGCGGTACGAGAGCCGTACCTTGAAGTTGTTGGATGGCACTGGTTCTGTGGCCATTTCTGATCGGAGTGGTGCCATGACGTATGTGAGCGTCCATGGGGCCCCCATGGAATTCTCTGAGTCCCTTCTCCGGCGTTTCTTCCAGAGATTTGGCTTCGTCGTCAGTGTGAGGATGCACAAGCTATCTTCTGGAAAATATGCGGGAGTGAAGACGAACATTCATACCCTCGGGATGCGCCTGAGGTCGGACATTCCATCCTCTGTCCGACTTTTAGGGTACTACGTGTGGGTGTATTATGCCCGGCAACCCCGTACTTGTTTCCGGTGTGGCATGTTGGGGCATCAGGCTGCCGGATGCACTGTGGATCCGGTTGCTCCGGTCAACTTGTTCCGGGAAGAGGATTTCCCACCGCTCCCTCTGGAGGAGGTCTCCGGGGATGAAGAGGTGAGCGTTCAGTTAGCAGATGCGGCTCCCCATACATCGCCGGACGTTCCTCCGGTTGTTGCAGACTCTCCTCTGGGTCTTGCAGTGCCATCGGATGGTCTACGTGCTCCTGTCGCTATCTCTGCTGCTCCTGAAGGCCTTCCTGGTGATCATTGTGACGCGCTGCCGTCTTCTCCATCGTCTTCGGCTGCTGCGCCTGGCCCTGTGTTCTCGTCCCCTGCTTGCGGGTGTTTGTTGCTAGGGTTCCGGGTGACATGGCGTCCCCGGTGGGTGAACGAGACCCATGGGGGTGGTTACGTTGGGCGGCGTTCAATGTGCGATTCCCACGAGTCTTGTTCCGGGCAAGTATGTCCGCTGATTCCCTTTTTTTTTATTTTTTCCCCCTATTTGTAGTGTTGTGTGCTCTTCTGGCGTTTTGTTTGCCTTACTGTCTTCTGTGCCCGTGCCTCTCCCTTTGTTTGTGAAGGGGCCGGTGTTTTGCGGTGTGTATTCTCTTCATGTATTACCGTGTTGTATTGTGTTTTCTTTTTAATTTTCCTTTTGTTTATATTTATGATTTGTTTGTGTGTGCATTGTCTTGTGTTATGTTTCATTTTATACATTATGATGTGTTTTGTTGTCGGTCCGTCCGGCCGATGTTTGTTTGTTTTGTTTTAAATTGTTCCTAAGTTTTGTTTATTTGCTTACATTATTTGCTTGTTTGTTATTGTTATTGTTTTATAATTTGTCTTGATGTATGGTGTGTTTCTCATGTGTTCCTCCATTTTGGCTAATTGTTGTCCTGTGCTGTCGGTCCTTCTGGCCGGTGGCTTCTGTATTTGTTTTTGTTTTCTGTGACATTTTATTGTATTTATTGTCATTACCTTGCATGCTTGCATGTAAAAAAAAAAAAAAAGTCTCTGCTGGCTATTGTAAGGGGAATGCTTGCTGACACCAGAACTTTGACGACGTCCCTAGCGCGGAATATACTTCTCAGCTACAAGCGTCTCTGAGAGACTGCCACCACCACCTGATTCAAATCCTTACTGATCAAATCACCTGACTGTGAAGCAGGAAACAGTCAATTAGATATATATCCACGGCCGGGGAGCCGGTCGGCCGAGCGGACTGCACGTGGGACTTGTGATCCTGTGGTCCTGGGTTCGATCCCAGGCGCCGGCGAGATACAATTGGCAGAGTTTCTTTCACCCTATGCCCCTGTTACCTAGCAGTAAAATAGGTACCTGGGTGTTAGTCAGCTGTCACGGGCTGCTTCCTGGGGGTGGAGGCCTGGTCGAGGACCGGGCCGCGGGGACACTAAAAGCCCCGAAATCATCTCAAGATAACGATTCTGGATACCTAGTTATGAATAGGAGGAATGAAGTTACTTTAAAGGGTGGTTTAACTCAACAAAAAGGGCTTATATATATTAAATAGACTAAGTGATGCTTGCAATGTTCATCTGGGCTTATTCAGTAACACAGGAAAATATACATATGGGGAAATTCCCTAAACAATAGAAATTACTTCAATCATTATATATTACATCACAGTTTTCTAAATGAACACGCCCTGCAACTGACATATTCATATCTTTAACAATGGTAAAATACTGTGGATTTCTACAGCTGCCTTTAACTCAAACAGAACTTTACCTTACGCAAGCCAGGCCAGTTGTTCAGCCTGGCTAGAACAACTGGCGGCCCGGATCAGAGCCTCATATGCATGTGAATATGTATTTGTGAATATTTACACATTACAGCGTGGCCGGGAATACTGGTGACAATGTTGTGTGTGGTGTTGCAGAGGAGGAGAGCAGGGGATAATGTTGTGTTGCAGAGGAGGAGAGCAGGGGATAATGTTGTGTTGCAGAGGAGGAGAGCAGGGGATAATGTTGTGTGTTGTGTTGCAGAGGAGGAGAGAGCGATGAGGGAGGCGCTGGACGCCATCACTAGGAGGCTGGTACTGAGGCTCAGGACCCACCACGCTGCCAGCGACACTCACCAGGTGAGGCTCCTCACACTCCTCTACACCCTCTCCCTCACCACCACCACATGTGCACTCCTAACAGTTTGTGTCACATGGGCCGCTCGAGGTGTCAGGTGGCGACCCTCCAGCTGGTGTACTGCTTCACCCGGTGTCACTCTGGTACACACTCTGCAACTGTTATGGGGTACAATGGCCGGCAGGTCTTAGGGTATGCATAGTCCTTAGTATATTCCCCGTCACTGGCTCAACTTTGTCGGCAAAACAGAAATGCAATCTCTAACTGGCCTCCCTGCTCAGGGAGGGATCCTCACCTGGCCTCCCTGCTCAGGTAGGGATCCTCACCTGGCCTCCCTGCTCAGGTAGGGGTCCTCACCTGGCCTCCCTGCACAGGTAGGGATCCTCACCTGGCCTCCCTGCTCTGGTAGGGATCCTCACCTGGCCTCCCTGCTCAGGTAGGGATCCTCACCTGGCCTCCCTGCTCAGGTAGGGGTCCTCACCTGGCCTACCTGCTCAGGTAGGGATCCTCACCTGGCCTCCCTGCTCAGGTAGGGATCCTCACCTGGCCTCCCTGCTCAGGTAGGGATCCTCACCTGGCCTCCCTGCTCAGGTAGGGATCCTCACCTGGCCTCCCTGCTCAGGTAGGGATCCTCACCTGGCCTCCCTGCTCAGGTAGGGATCCTCACCTGGCCTCCCTGCTCTGGTAGGGATCCTCACCTGGCCTCCCTGCTCTGGTAGGGACCCTCACCTGGCCTCCCTGCTCAGGTAGGGATCCTCACCTGGCCTCCCTGCTCAGGTAGGGATCCTCACCTGGCCTCTCTGCACAGGTAGGGATCCTCACCTGGCCTCCCTGCTCAGGTAGGGATCCTCACCTGGCCTCCCTGCTCAGGTAGGGATCCTCACCTGGCCTCCCTGCTCTGGTAGGGATCGTCACCTGGCCTACCTGCTCTGGTAGGGATCCTCACCTGGCCTCCCTGCTCTGGTAGGGATCCTCACCTGGCCTCTCTGCACAGGTAGGGATCCTCACCTGGCCTCCCTGCTCAGGTAGGGATCCTCACCTGGCCTCCCTGCTCAGGTAGGGATCCTCACCTGGCCTCCCTGCTCAGGTAGGGATCCTCACCTGGCCTCCCTGCTCAGGTAGGGATCCTCACCTGGCCTCCCTGCTCTGGTAGGGATCCTCACCTGGCCTCTCTGCACAGGTAGGGATCCTCACCTGGCCTCCCTGCTCAGGTAGGGATCCTCACCTGGCCTCCCTGCTCAGGTAGGGATCCTCACCTGGCCTCCCTGCTCAGGTAGGGATCCTCACCTGGCCTCCCTGCTCAGGTAGGGATCCTCACCTGGCCTCCCTGCTCAGGTAGGGATCCTCACCTGGCCTCCCTGCTCTGGTAGGGATCCTCACCTGGCCTCCCTGCTCTGGTAGGGATCCTCATCTGGCCTCTCTGCACAGGTAGGGATCCTCACCTGGCCTCCCTGCTCAGGTTGGGATCCTCACCTGGCCTCCCTGCTCAGGTAGGGATCCCCACCTGGCCTCCCTGCTCTGGTAGGGATCGTCTCCTGGCCTCCCTGCTCTGGTAGGGATCCTCACCTGGCCTCCCTGCTCTGGTAGGGATCCTCACCTGGCCTCTCTGCACAGGTAGGGATCCTCACCTGGCCTCCCTGCTCAGGTAGGGATCGTCACCTGGCCTCCCTGCTCAGGTAGGGATCCTCACCTGGCCTCCCTGCTCAGGTAGGGGTCCTCACCTGGCCTCCCTGCTCAGGTAGAGATCCTCACCTGGCCTCCCTGCTCTGGTAGGGATCCTCACCTGGCCTCTCTGCACAGGTAGGGATCCTCACCTGGCCTCCCTGCTCAGGTAGGGATCCTCACCTGCCTCCCTGCTCAGGTAGGGATCCTCACCTGGCCTCCCTGCTCAGGTAGGGATCCTCACTCAGGTGGATCCTCACCTGGCCTCCCTGCTCAGGTAGGGATCCTCACCTGGCCTCCCTGCTCAGGTAGGGATCCTCACCTGGCCTCCCTGCTCAGGTAGGGATCCTCACCTGGCCTCCCTGCTCAGGTAGGGATCCTCACCTGGCCTCCCTGCTCAGGTAGGGATCCTCACCTGGCCTCCCTGCTCAGGTAGGGATCCTCACCTGGCCTCCCTGCTCAGGTAGGGATCCTCACCTGGCCTCCCTGCTCAGGTAGGGATCCTCACCTGGCCTCCCTGCTCAGGTAGGGATCCTCACCTGGCCTCCCTGCTCAGGTAGGGATCCTCACCTGGCCTCCCTGCTCAGGTAGGGATCCTCACCTGGCCTCCCTGCTCAGGTAGGGATCCTCACCTGGCCTCCCTGCTCAGGTAGGGATCCTCACCTGGCCTCCCTGCTCAGGTAGGGATCCTCACCTGGCCTCCCTGCTCAGGTAGGGATCCTCACCTGGCCTCCCTGCTCAGGTAGGGATCCTCACCTGGCCTCCCTGCTCAGGTAGGGATCCTCACCTGGCCTCCCTGCTCAGGTAGGGATCCTCACCTGGCCTCCCTGCTCAGGTAGGGATCCTCACCTGGCCTCCCTGCTCAGGTAGGGATCCTCACCTGGCCTCCCTGCTCAGGTAGGGATCCTCACCTGGCCTCCCTGCTCAGGTAGGGATCCTCACCTGGCCTCCCTGCTCAGGTAGGGATCCTCACCTGGCCTCCCTGCTCAGGTAGGGATCCTCACCTGGCCTCCCTGCTCAGGTAGGGATCCCTGCTCACCTGGCCTCCCTGCTCAGGTAGGGATCCTCACCTGGCCTCCCTGCTCAGGTAGGGATCCTCACCTGGCCTCCCTGCTCAGGTAGGGATCCTCACCTGGCCTCCCTGCTCAGGTAGGATCCTCACCTGGCCTCCCTGCTCAGGTAGGGATCCTCACCTGGCCTCCCTGCTCAGGTAGGGATCCTCACCTGGCCTCCCTGCTCAGGTAGGGATCCTCACCTGGCCTCCCTGCTCAGCCTCAGGTAGGGATCCTCACTGTGGTGTGGGACTGTCAGGTGTTTTCACTTTTGGGACTGTATGGTAATGTTTATGTCTTCTGAAGATTCCCCACACTGTGTGGTGTGGGACTGTAGGTGACCCCACCATTGTTGTGTACTGTGTGGTGTGGGACTGTAGGTGACCCCACCATTGTTGGTGTACTGTGTGGTGTGGGACTGTAGGTGACCCCACCATTGTTGGTGTACTGTGTGGTGTGGGACTGTAGGCCCCCACCATTGTTGGTGTACTGTGTGGTGTGGGACTGTAGGTGACCCCACCATTGTTGGTGTACTGTGTGGTGTGGGACTGTAGGCCCCCACCATTGTTGGTGTACTGTGTGGTGTGGGACTGTAGGTGACCCCACCATTGTTGGTGTACTGTGTGGTGTGGGACTGTAGGTGACCCCACCATTGTTGGTGTACTGTGTGGTGTGGGGACTGTAGGCCCCCACCATTGTTGGTGTACTGTGTGGTGTGGGACTGTAGGTGACCCCACCATTGTTGGTGTACTGTGTGGTGTGGGACTGTAGGCCCCCACCATTGTGTTGGTGTACTGTGTTGTGTGGGAATGTAGGCCCCCACCATTGTTGGTGTACTGTGTGGTGTGGGACTGTAGGCCCCCACCATTGTTGGTGCACTGTGTGGTGTGGGACTGTAGGCCCCCACCATTGTTGGTGCACTGTGTGGTGTGGGACTGTAGGACCCCACCATTGTTGGTGTACTGTGTGGTGTGGGACTGTAGGCCCCCACCATTGTTGGTGTACTGTGTGGTGTGGGACTGTAGGCCCCCACCATTGTTGGTGTACTGTGTGGTGTGGGACTGTAGGCCCCCACCATTGTTGGTGTACTGTGTGGTGTGGGACTGTAGGCCCCCACCATTGTTGGTGTACTGTGTGGTGTGGGACTGTAGGCCCCCACCATTGTTGGTGTACTGTGTGGTGTGGGACTGTAGGCCCCCACCATTGTTGGTGTACTGTGTGGTGTGGGACTGTAGGCCCCCACCATTGTTGGTGTACTGTGTGGTGTGGGACTGTAGGCCCCCACCATTGTTGGTGTACTGTGTGGTGTGGGACTGTAGGTGACCCCACCATTGTTGGTGTACTGTGTGGTGTGGGACTGTAGGCCCCCACCATTGTTGGTGTACTGTGTGGTGTGGGACTGTAGGTGACCCCACCATTGTTGGTGTACTGTGTGGTGTGGGACTGTAGGTGGCCCCCACCATTGTTGGTGAACTGTGTGGTGTGGGACTGTAGGTGACCCCACCTTTGTTGGTGTTCTGTGTGGTGTGGGTCTGTGGGACCCCACCATTGTTGGTGTACTGTGTGGTGTGGGACTGTAGGTGACCCCACCATTGTTGGTGTACTGTGTGGTGTGGGACTGTAGGTGACCCCACCATTGTTGGTGCACTGTGTGGTGTGGGACTGTAGGTGACCCCACCATTGTTGGTGTACTGTGTGGTGTGGGACTGTAGGTGACCCCACCATTGTTGGTGTACTGTGTGGTGTGGGACTGTAGGTGACCCCACCATTGTTGGTGTACTGTGTGGTGTGGGACTGTAGGTGACCCCACCATTGTTGGTGTACTGTGTGTGTGGACTGTGGGACTGTAGGCCCCCACCATTGTTGGTGTACTGTGTGGTGTGGGACTGTAGGTGACCCCACCATTGTTGGTGTACTGTGTGGTGTGGGACTGGGACTGTACTGTGTGGTGTGGGTGACCCCACCATTGTTGGTGTACTGTGTGGTGTGGGACTGTAGGTGACCCCACCATTGTTGGTGTACTGTGTGGTGTGGGACTGTAGGCCCCCACCATTGTTGGTGTACTGTGTGGTGTGGGACTGTAGGTGACCCCACCATTGTTGGTGTACTGTGTGGTGTGGGACTGTAGGTGACCCCCACCATTGTTGGTGTACTGTGTGGTGTGGGACTGTAGGTGACCCCACCATTGTTGGTGTACTGTGTGGTGTGGGACTGTAGGTGACCCCACCATTGTTGGTGTACTGTGTGGTGTGGGACTGTAGGCCCCCACCATTGTTGGTGTACTGTGT